CTTACCCTCAGACTTTCCACAGTACTCACTAGCTCTGGGGATGTCATTTTTATTTCTGTCAATGGAATGTATGAAAGGAATGAATGAAAAAAAGAACCACAATGCTGCTTGGAGACAGAAGTCTTGCCCAGGATGCACAGCTTTCATTAGAGGGAGCAGGAAGTGCAAACATGATGTCAGAGCTACAGAGATTATCTGTATAAATGGTGTTATCATTTAACCCAAACAAACAGCAGGGAAAGGCTCACCCCCTCCCTTTGAAGACAATGGACAGTTACTAAATTGGACTTGTAATGAAAACCATTTTCAGTGAAACACAAGATATGTGCAACAGTTGGTTCAGAAATGAAAATCTGTTGTAACAGCCAAAAGTCAAAGGCAGCTATAAATACAGGCCTTAATCTTTTCAAGAATCCCTTAACGAAGCCTATAAAACTGATTTTATCTCCAAGCCTAACTCAAGTGCAAATTCTTACTCAGAAAAGTATAACAGTCCTGCAAGTATGACTTGGAGAGCAGTACAGGGACAAGGAAGGAGAAAACAGAGTGCTGGTTTGAATGCTCACATCTTGGAATACAAATTACATTGCATTTAAAATAAACAATTAATGAGACAGCAGAAGCCTCAGCTACAGGTCCACTTTTCTGAGAGAGAAACAATTTCCAGAAGCGGTCAGAGCGGGATGCAGAAACACTGCACCTTTCCTTTTAACACAACAGAAATGCTCTTTGATTATTTAAAAGCCAATTGCAAAGATCTGTCTTCAAAACCTCCTATTGCAGGTTTAATAGCAAAGAGGTGCAAGTACACTTACCAGCAACACAGGAGTAAAGTACAGACTTTTGTTTTAACAAAATCTATATTTATACGATTACATTTCCTATGGTTGAGGGCAGCTGTAATTAATGGATTTCCCTCCTTCCCCTAATGCAGTCATTTGTCAATTTAAACACAGAATGCCCAATCAATTTTGATGTATTTAGTAAGCAATTTGTCAGAGTACTGCACACCAGTTAATATATTAATTCTTGTCACTGGCCCACTTCTGACAACCGTAGGCCACGTCCATGAAATTGGTCCTGATGAGCCAAAACTCTTGCCTGGAATGTGAAGAGCCAGAGGAGAGAAATCAGGTCTCAATCTATTCAATGCCTTTTCAGGGCAGTTTTTGCTCAGTTTTAAGGGATTTATTCATTAATGTGTTAATTGACCACATTTCAAATATTGCATCTAGGGTGCAATGGAAAAGTGACTTCAGAGTGGAAAGATAAGGAAGAAAAGAAATAAACATGAAATGAGGATGTCAGACTTTCTGGTGATGCAGAGTTACCTATTTCCATGGCAATTCCATTATGTGCCATGAATGTTGACTATGTGAATCTGTGTGAATTCAAACATGCAAAAAACATGTGAAAGGTACAGAAGTCACACAAAGGAAACCAGGGAAAGTCAGTCAGATATGCAAAACTTCATGGCCTGGTAAAAGAGAGGAAAGAATTCATTTGAAAGAAACCTGAACATAACCAGGGGATTGTCATGGACATGGAACACACATCTTAACAGCATCCTCAAGAGTTTATACAACCCAAAGCACCTTAATTCCCAAGTGCCAAACAGCAGCAAGAAGGCAGGATTTAAAGGGTAATTAATAATGAGAAAACTTGGCAATTCTATGGAGAAAGCTTTAACATTGCAAGTCCCTGTGGACATCAAAACCCTCCTGTGCACACGTGCAGTGCCTGGCACAACTCTCCTCCCACTGCCAGGCCTGCTAGGACAGTTAACCACACCACATGATGATGTTTATGTCACAGGAAAAACACCTAGGAAGAATAAAATGTGACTCAGATTTCTTTCTGTTGTGGTTAGACTTGGAAGTTGATCAGGACATAGGTGAATAAAAAGGGAATATCAGAGACACAAACAAGGCAGAATCCTATGTATTAAATGTGGGGAATGTAGAGAAATATCCGACAAATTACAATTACAAATTAATTACAATCCTCAGGTCTTCAGTGCTAAACCCCAGCACTGAAGACCTGAGGATTGTAATTAATCCAGGGCTTTGTGGGATGGACTCATGGGAACAAATGAACCTGGAATCTGCTCTGTCAAAAGGAGCTCTCAGGACTGGTTATATTCTCCCTGACCCACTGCAGCTTGGAGCAGGATCCTGACACTTCCTGCAGGCCAGCAGGTTGTAGAATTTAACATGCAAGTTCACTTTCAAGCCATGAACTTAGAGAAAGCTGTAAATCCCTCACTTCCCACCTTCTCAGCTGTGCAGCAGCCCGAGCTGTGGTAAGGTGCTCAGGTAGACACAAGCTGCACACACTGATGCAGGTTTCTGCAGCAGATGTCACAGATGACCTCAAAGCAAGGAAACAGCTGTGCTGATCCACTTACAAATACCCTTGGGATAAAGGTCTTGGACACTTGTTGTACAAAACATTTCTTCAAACAATGGTTCCTTGTTCATGCCTTTCTAGCTGCAAATAAAACTTTCAGATTCTTTAAAAATATTAAAAGCTGAACCGTGTGTTGATAACCTAATGCAATATTTCTTGAATATTCTTTGTTTAGCATAAGAACTCACTGGCCTGGTTTATATTTTTCAGAGACTAAGGAAGATTCTGGCTCTGTGTTTTGGCATCGAAGCTCTTATTTATGAAAACCTGGCCGTGCAGCCCTCCAAGCAGCCTGCCAGACGTGTCATTGTTCTGCCCGGCTGCTGACAGAGGTACTCTGTGCTAAAAAGCACACTGAGGGTTTTTCAATGACCCAGGGGGCAAAGGTCACTTATTATAAATGGATAATGAGACCTAATGCAATGTTCTGAGTGTGGACAAAGAAAGGGTCTATCCATACCCCCTTGTGACTTGGTCATTCAGGCTTTTATTTCCCCTGCACACTTAATGGAGCCAAACAATTGGCAGAAATGCTATACAGAAACGGAGAGAAACTGCTGCATTCTACCTCCGAGAGACAGCCACAAACAGTGCCCCTGAAACGGCGCCACGGCTCCTGTGAGCCCTGACGTGGCAGACAGATGGACCAGCCCCCCTGAGCCACGGCTGAGCCTTTTACAATTAAAGCCCCCGATGGAAGAGAGCACAGCACAGCCAGGCTGCAGCTAAAGCCAGCCCAGGGCAGAGCTGCAGGTAAGCAGAGCCACGGAGCTGGGCTTAGGAGATCTCTAACAGGTGGCTTTTGTGGGAAGCTGCTTGGACTCCATCGTCAGGGACTTCACTGAGGAGCTTCAGCCTGAGCGAATCCAGAAGACAAAACTTCAAAGACAATCAGACACAAATTTCTCTGTTATTGCCATGTCCTCTAGATACTCTGCTGTCTTTAGTGGTTATCATTCTATTACTCTTTCCATTTTACATCCAGCTTAAAGAATTCCTGTTATGTGAATTAAAACCTGAGTTAAAAGTCTTACAATTCAAATAACACAAGTTCCTTAACTGGCCATGTAGATATTGCATCTACTGTGCAATGGAAAAGTGAATTCAGAGTGGAAAGATAAGGAAGAAAAGAAATAAACATGAAATGAGGATGTCAGACTTTCTGGTGATGCAGAGTTACCTATTTCCATGGCAATTCCATTATGTGCCATGAACGTGACTGTGTGAATCTGTGTGAATTCAAACATGCAAAAAACATGTGAAAGGTACAGAAGTCACACAAAGGAAACAAGAGGTAAGTCAATCAAATATGCAAAACCCCTTTAAGTTCATTAATTTGCTCCTTTTTTCTTTAAAATGTTTTCAGTACTAAACAATTTGAAATGTGTATTTGTACACATATGTATACTGTGTAACAGTATTGGAGCTGTTAATAAAAAATTAATGAAATACACAAAATGAGCCCCATCCATCCCTGGTTTCACTCTGTGGGATACAAATACAAGTAAAACAAGGCAGGAATCTAGCAAAAAAAATCCAGCCAAAATACAAATCTAATGGTGCTATGCACTACTAATTACTTTCTCGTATTCTTTTGTACCTTTTGAGTTTAATCCCAATTTTCTGTGCAGCACAGAAGAAAGAAGACTCAAACTTTGCAGGTTTCCACAACACTCAGATGCAGCAGATGGACAGGTAGAAGCAACAGATCCAATCTGGCACCAGTGTCCCTTTCACCAGCCCCATCCAAAGTGCCTCCTGGCCCACATGGCCACTTGGTGCATCTGAAATGCCCCTGTCACATAAAGCTGCCTGCACTGACAACTGTGCACAGCTCTGGTTTCCCCAGGAGAACCTCAACAGATGCCAGGAGTTGCTCCCTTGTGAGACTTCAACTGCTGCATCACTTTGATCCTAGACAGCACAGAGACTTGCTCCTCACTGTCAGTACTCTTCTCTCTCTTATATTGTCAGATAAAAGATAAATACTCATTTTTCTACATAACCATTATAAAAATCCATTGGTTTGTATATTTATGTAATACAGATACACCATATATATGGAGCTCTAGGTGTATGAATGTTTCTGAATATGCCATGCCATGAAATGTTGGCTCTCTGGGAATGATGGGGTTGGGCAAGACACAGGCCAAGGCAGGTGGGCAAGCATCCCTGGCAGCAGTGCCAAGGCTCCTGAGGGAAGCAGCTGCCTGAGACTGTGGCTGGAAGGAGCCCAGCAACCAGGAATTCCCAAGGAGAGGGAAATGCAGATGCACTCACTTGTCACTGGATATGGAATTCACAGGGGGAAATGGCTAAAAGCATGAGAAGGAATGAGGTGAGGAAACCCTGAAGATTTCATGGGACCTGGTGGGTGACTCTCAAGGCCAGCCAAGCACTCCCACAGCCTCACAACTCTGATTCATGGCAAAAATCCCAACCCTACATTCACTGCTCCATCCTTACTAACACACACAACCCTGCTCTGAGGTTGAACATACACTGAAATTGGCTGAAAAAATCAACTCAGAAAAACACCCTCTGCTTAAAACTTTCAAATGAGACAAGACAAGAAGTCGTCAGCTACTCACAGCCAGCCAGAAGATACTGGTAGTACTGCACAGCATCTGCAGCCAGGAGCAGTGGATGGTTTGCATTAAATGGTGGTTGGAGTTCATTCCACTGAGGAGTTCTGAGGTAAAACACAAGACTATTAATATTTAAGCTAATACAGAGAATGTAAATCAGTGTTTCTGTCATCACATGCAATTATCTATACAAGCTCACAAAATGTTTGTAATTATTTAAATTAGCTTGTTCAAACACTGCAATCCACCACAGGCAGTGGAGCAGCAGGGCCAAATCGTGCAGATTGTGAGGCAAAGACAATACTTGGTTGTTGACTGCAACAGGGATTGCGCAAAAAAGAACCCAGGAAGGAGGTTTAGATTAAGTTGGTAAATATGTGTAGGACCATTGTATGTCATGCTGACGTTATATAAACACACAAGAGAAACTGGGGAACTTTTTTTGTTCTGTTAACTACCACTGCTTCCATCCTGTGAAGTCATTGAGCACTTACTGTGAAAATAAAGCTGTGTAAAGTTATGGATTATTGATCCAATTAGAATTTTCAATTCCATTACAACCTACTCATTTCAACAATAATGGTCCCGAAGTCTGTGTTGTAATTTTAATTAGGGTGGGCCATTCCTAAATAGCTTGGTAAATCAAGTATTGATCACTCCAGTCCAGCCATAAGCAGCACTAAGGAATGTAGGAGCCAAGAAAAATCAATAGAAAAATATTTTAAAACGTCAAAAGCACTGACAACACTTTCTCATCAATTTTTCTTTACTTTCTTCCACATGTCAGGAATAATTTCTTCTACTGTCTTTAGAAATGGTACCTTCAGCTGCTCACAGGAAAATTCACAATGCTTCATCATGAGAACCTTGCTCATGTCTCACAGCAGAATTCTGTACTTCTACACCACCACAATAATCGTTCCTAATCCTTATATAAACAGAAAATTATAACCTGATCATTTTAAATCACCAATTAATAAAGATCTCTGCTGATTCACAGACATGTTCATGTAGCTCCACATGCAGAGAAAGATTTGGAAGCTTAGTTCCCATTGAGACCCACGAACAGTGACAGAACTGCACAGAAAGCAAGGCTTGAACTTCTCTCCTTCAACGGAAAACTTCAGGAGTCTTTACTTGAGGGACAATCATGATGCAGCTCATCCAAAAAGAAAGATCACAAGCATTTTGTGGCTGAAAGGAAGGGAAAGTCACAGGAATGAGGTACCTAACCAAAGTCCAGCTGGCCCTGGGGGAGGTGACCATCTCCAGGGGGGTGTCGTCGCTGATCTTGGGCGCGGTGCTGAGCGGCCGCGGCTCCAGGACGTGCTCCACCAGGCTCCCGTAGCAGCTGATGATGTACAAGGACTCCACCACAAACTGCTTGGACTGATCTGGGGGGAAAAAGAGAGGAAATCTTATTGCAACAGCACAGCAGGAACAGAAAAAGCTTTTGTGGAAATAGCAGACTCTGCTCTTTTAAGTCTTAGCTTGTGGCTAAAAATGTGAATTAAAAGTAGCAAAAGGGCTGGAGAGACAAAGAGAAAATTCTACAAAACACACAATTTTCACACAATTGTATGAGTATCTCATACAAGAGAAATTTCACACCCAGGTGTGTTCGGGTGATTACACATTTCCAAACATATCTTGTACATTTGCTTTAGCAAAGGTGTTTCACCTTTATCTCACAATTTTTTCAGTGTCACTTCACACAGTACCTTTGGACTGACCTATCAAAGTTGGGTTTCTATCACTGTATCATAATAAAAGATCAATTATTCATTTCACTAATTAAAATTTCTTATACATTTTACCAAAAGCACCCCAAACACAATCCTAAAATTCTCGACTGCCCCTGAGTTTAAGGAACAAAATGCACAGACTGCTTAGAACCTGCCACAAAATAAGAATTGAAGTTTAAATGCAAGTCCTAATTCTGTGAGGTACCAACCTTTTTCTCGTTTGAGACCGGAATTGTTTGCAAACCATGACCTTGAAGCTCCAAAGACTGCAGCGACACAAAACTCCCCTCCCACAGATTTACTGGGTGAAATCTGCGGAGCTGGTTTGGATTTGCTTTAAAGAAAAAACAAAATAAAATTATACAAGTTCATTCTCAAAAAATTAAGATGTCCCTTGCTTAACAGCAATTTTAAGACATTACTTCAGAAATGGGGAATATCTGCAGTTGACATAAGGCTGAGCAGGATTTACAGATGCTCAGTGTTTCCCAATAACAGGTCCCAAATTACCCTGGAATTCTGAACTCATTCACTGGAGAAGAGCACTGGCTCATAATGGAAAATTGAATTGTTTAAAAGACCCAATACTGAATATTTGCATTCAACAGAAACAACTTCTGAAGTAAATACAAAGAAACCCTAAATCCTTAGGGAACGAAAATACAGATTCTGGGTCAGCCATTCCAGGTGGTCGATATTTCCTTGTCTTTTCCAAAGGAAGTCAGGAATAACCAGGGGATATGAGTGACAAAGGGTGGGGGGAAGGACATGCAGAGGGAACAGGGAGGGGGAAACAATGCACACACTCATGAGCCACTGTTAGGACACACCAGGAATTCTATCATGGAAAAGCAGACTGAGACACTGTGCCCTGAGCCCAGGATGTGCACAGAGCAGATCCAGGGTGTGAGGATGTTTGTTGAGGTGTTTCTCCTCACAGGGACCTGCAGGTATGTAACATTCTGCTCTGCAGAAACTCAGAACTATGGGCAGGGCACTGGCCATGCCTCAATTCATTAAATCAGCATTTCACCCTTTCCTTAACAGAAAAGCTCTTTGACAAACCCACACAGGATTCTTCTTTCTCCATGTTCCCCTTGTTCTAGTCCTTTTAATTGAATTATTATTTTATATTTTTCTCTCTACTCTATTTCACTGCTCCCTTCTCTTCCTACCCACACCTCCTTTCCATTTTTCTTATACTAATTTTGTCTTCCACACAATTTCAGCCCATGATCAGACCATCCCATTAACCTGTTTTTTACATAACAGTCTCCAATTCTGAGAAGTGTGTGTGCATAGGTGTATGTGCAAACAAAGGAGTGCCGGTATTAAAATGAAATTCAGCACTAGAAGAATATTTTTAAACAGCAGAAATCAATTAAAATACTGTACAGTTATAATGATATTTAATTTATACTAACAGATGTTACACATGGCAAGCCTGTGGTCACATGTATCAGTTAGAAATTATAACAAAAATGCTCTTTCCAAAAGAATTCCATCACACTGACCAGAGCCCATGGAAAGAGTCAGACAAACTTCCACGGACTTGGATCAGAGCTGAAGCTCTTGTACATGTGGGAGAAGCTGGAATGTCCCAAAAGAGCAGTTGGAATTTATAGTCAGTAACTCTGGTATTGAACCACCACAAAGCACTTAACATCCAACTGTTAAACCTACAGCTACAGATGACTGGGTCAGAAACCTGTGTTCCAAAAAGGTCCTGACTATAAATGTATTCCCTTGCTTCCAGTGGCACATCATGTTTCTATATTAGAATATTTAAATTGAGACTGTGTTAACTAACAAGCTTTTATTAGCTACTCAGAAAAAAATCAGAATAGATTTCTTTCACTTGGAAATAATCATCTGTCACAGAAAGAGTATTTTTAACCAAACTGCATATTGAGAATTATTTTAGTTCTCATTTTCCAAGTATTCACATACTCATATTCCTTCAGAAATGAAAATATAAATGTATCAATGAATTAGAGTCTTGTTGCTTACTTCAGTTAATAAATGATTTGGTTTAATGCAGAGTATTATTCAGGACAGTATTACCCACCAATCACTACAAAGCAAACCAGGAGCACAGATATGACTCTGCCATATTCACTTCCTCTCCATAAAAGGACCTTTCTATACTGTCCTAATGTTCTTAATATTCTCAGCTTTTACTGAACACAATCTGAGGTTATTAAAATGATTTTCAAGGTTAATGAAGTAATTTAAAATGGGAAAAAAATTGGAAGCAAATGCTATTCTCAGCTACAAACTGGAGTAAAGCTCTACAGAGACAGAATTGCCTTCAAGCCTTGAAGCAGAAGTGAACCTGGGACTCAACACATTTTTCCAGAGTTCTCCACACTCTGAGTCCCCAGACCTGTGCTCAACTAAATACAATTATAAACAGCCTTAGAGGAAATGGTCTGAGCTCAGTTCTATTTACATCTTGTCTTTAGGATGCACATCTTTCAAGGCAAGCACTTAAGTGTTGGTTTCAGTGCCAGAAGCTTTTCCCTTCGAGGATGATGTTTTGTAGACAGAAAGAGCAGACCTTGTAAAACACGATTACTCATGTGGTTAAACTCAGCCCTGCTAGCAAACAAAGACAAGCAAACAAACAAAAAAGATTCGTGCATCCTATTGGTTTGGACAGATTTCTGAAAAATACTGTTGAGATGTCAACAAGTCTATTCTGAAGCCTCTTGTAACTGAGGAATCTTTAATTTGACCATAATTTTACTCAATTCCTGAGTTTTCATCGATACATTCCAACTCAAATTTCATTCCTTCAGCAAACCTCCAAAGCCCAGTTATTTTCAGTAACAGTAATGCCATTAGAAAAATATCTTTACATGTCATTGTGATATTTTAACAACTTGGAAACTATAAATCCTCATTATTCTGCAGATGCAAACACCCTCTCAGCTTTATAAATGATAACAAAACAATAATGTTGAAGGTAGGTGGTGAATGACTTGTTTCTGCTATGAACTCCTGCTCTTTCCTTGCTCTTGGCTTGTCAGCACTTCATAAATTATTCCAAGAGCTGAAATTCAGGCACATTTGGCCTCACTTTTACAAAACAGTTACTTTAAAAGAATCTTCATAATACAGTAACTTCCAAAAGATTGTAGGAAACTTCCAAAAGAGATGCAGGAAGAAATTCAGATTTTTGGGAATCAATGCTAAAACCAAGACAGTGAAGCAAATGGGGCCAAAACATTCCCAATTCTAATTTTTCATTTTTCATCTTCATTTTTCCCAAACATTAGGAACAGCAGCATTATATTCAAGACATCAGGAGGATGAAAAGGCAGTTTACTTTTTCCTCTCTGATCTACTGCACTGTGCAATCACACCTGAAATTCAGTGAGACACAGAAATCCTTTTGCCCCAATTAGATCTGTACAGAAATGTCTATCAGGAACAGAATGCATTTGGGAAAATCTGTATTATTATTAAACGTTCTAACATAATTTTGGAGGATTATTTCTATTTTAAATGCAGAAGCACTGAGATGTAGATATGTGGCCATCTGACATTTTCTACTGAAATGGCACAAAAGGAGATGGGAGGAAACTAAAGAAGAAAATGAAGACATCACTTTGTCAGAGCTTGAAGAGCAATGAAGAGACTGAGCTCAGCATGCAAGCTCTTTCATAGTGCCAACACAGTGAGAACAGATTAAGACCTGCTGAAACCATTCAGAGCTCTCACTTGTTGATTTTGTAACGCATCAAACTCTGCCATAATCTCTGGAAATGCACTGTGCTAGCTCTTTGTAAAAATACTCAATAGTTACAATATTTTAACTAGTTTAATTATTAGTATTTTGCTAGTAAGAATTAATACTTTTAAAATATTCTGAAAACCAGAGGCTGCACGGTTGATGATGGAGCTTTATGTCTCACAAAATGTTTCAGGCTCTTAAATGTATCTTTAAATCCATTGGCAAACAAGTGACATGACTCTAAAACAAGAAATAAATTGCATATATGTGATATGAAGGAGCTGCCTTATATATTTAAATATTTATAGTCAAATAGTACAAGTCTGCAAAGATTGAAAATCACTTTGATTTCATATTCCAAACAAATAGGCTCCAAATATATGAGATTCATAAAAACAAAAGCACTTATTCCACACTAAACCCACTGAAATGGAAACATCTATGACTGCTTATGGAATAAGTTTTATCTTGACTACATAAGCATCAACAAAAGTATCAGGAGAAAAATACTGCAAGAAATTTGCAATTACACATAAAATTACAAAAAAAAAATCTGTCTCAAAGTCCAGAATTTTTAATTCATTTATCACTGTGCCTATAACATAAAAACAAAGATGTTTCCAGTTGTCAGATCATGAACAAAGCAAGAAAAAGCACAAAAAGGAATGGTAGGATCCTTTATTCACCAGGCACTTAGCTGTCAAATCAACATCCATTTTGTTTACAGAATTTTAGGTCTCATTAAGACCTTAATGGAAACAACATGACTTCTTCCCCCACCCAAAGTGTGTTTTTTATCCTAATTTCTCTGTAGACGAGTAAGGACCATATTTTTGAGCTAGCACTGGCATTAAACAAACCACAAAAAGAGTCTTGTGAAAGACAGGCAACAATTTTGGAGCCTATTTCATATATTCCCCTCTTTAATCTCAGCCTTTTAATCTTACTTCAATCTAAAACCATTTCTGGTTGAGGACGTCTCCTGCTTCGTGCAGGGGTGATCCACACCGCCTTTGCTCACAAATCCACTGCCAAAACTCTTCTTCCAGAGCCTCTGCACTTCTTAGATCACCATCAGGCAAAACTCTTTGGTGCACCAGAAACTGCTCTTAGGAAGTTTCTTAGGGAGGTACTTCAGGAATTAGAAATTCTCCACGAATAAGGCAAAGCTTCCTCTCTTTCCTCTCCTTCCTTCCTTCCTTCCTTCCTCTCCTTCCTCTCATTCCTCTTCTTCCTTCCTCTCCTTCCTCCCTCCCTCCCTCCCCTGTGCTTCCCCTGGCAGAGCTCCCAAATCCCTCCTCAGCCTTTCTCTGGGAATTCTGTGTCCTACAAAGCTCTTAACAAGTTCTTTTCCTGAAGAGAATATTTTGATAGAGACATTAAGGGTGATCCATGTGGTGACAGTTTCTAGAGCCAACCCAAGAGCCATGTACAAATATTCTAACAGATACTGGTGGCCATAGTTAATAGATATCCTTAACTAAATTAAAAACAAAGAGAAAATCCCAAACCCACAGGAAAACCCCAAAAACCCAAGCTCCAGAAAACTCCCTGCTGGAAGTTTTTAAATTTTCTGAGGTGTTCCTACTTCTTCCATTCCTATTATCCAAAACTTCCAGCATCTAAGCCCAATCCTGTTATAAAGTGGTGACTGAGGTGATGCAGAGCTGCCCGAATATCGAACCAAACTCCAACATCAAAAACTTGTTAAAACTTGCTTTTTGTCTTGTCTGTATTCTTATAATATGCTGCTATTTTTTCACATTAAAAAAAAATCCCTTTTATTTCAAATAGCCCGGTTTTAATAGAACTGTTTCCCATGTTGGAATGAGATGATCTTGAAGGTCCCTTTCACCCCAGGGCCATTCTGTGATTTCTTTTTTTCTCCAGAGTAATCAGCTTTTCTTTTTTTTTTTTTTTTTTCAGTGCCCATTTTACTGCTTCACCTCTCACTGCAGTACTTTACTGCCTACTCACTGCTAATCTGGCTTATTTTTTAGAGGTCATCATCGATGTTTTCTGTCTGTGAGCAACTTAGAGCTACAATAATAAAGGAAGCAATATAGAAAAAAAAAGGGAGAGGCTTGTTTGGAAAGACATTGCAATCATTTCTGCCCACTTAGAAATAATTTATTTTCAACTTCCCTGCTACTTAAAAATTAAATGGACTCTCAAAGGTAAAAAAAAAAAAAAAAAGGAAAAAAAACCAAGTGAATTCAATTCCTTGCAATGCTTGATGATGAGCACGTATCCATAGTTTAAAAGTGAAATAATGTGGGTGGAAACCTATGGATCAGCCATGCAGGTAAACAAATGAAAACCAAAAATTAATCCAAAATTAAAAAGTCTAAGCACAGAGTTATTTTCAGCAAGGACAGCAAATGGAGTATAGGCATGCTGGGTTTGAACTGGGAACTCACCAAGGAGCTTTTATGGAAAAACATCCTGCTCCAAACAGGTAAGGTCTTCACGGAAAGGGGAAAAATGCACAGAAATTAGATGAGAACTCAATTCCCAACAGGTACACCGTACATCATGCTACTCAGATCTATGCAGAAAGCGAACAGAATTGTTGTTAGAGCCCTTGAGGACACCCTGGAGCGGCAGTGCCCAGGGCACAGTCCAGAGGTGGCAGCTGCCGGGAGGGCTCCGCATGCCGGGACCCGCGGGGGACATCGGTGCAAGCTGGGCTCAGAGTTAGAGCTGGGCTTAGGCACGGCTCAGGACCCCCCTCCAACCTGCTGCCAAAGCTGGGGCTGCAGCAGATATTGAACATAACTGATAGGAAAAGGGAATTAAAATCCAAATCAGTCACAGGTTGGGGTTTTCCATGAACACTGAGGAGCCCAGTGGGGCAGTTTTAGAAAGATACTGAGAGGAGGTCAAATAAAACCAACAGGTGCAATCAGAACCTTTCAGGGACAATTACTCAGCCTTTTGCCAGGACAGAAACACCCCATGGAATTCAATTGTTTGACCCAGAAACCTTCTTCCACTCATTAAAAGCTTGCACAGATGCAGGAAAGAGAGGCCTGACTTACTTCAAATGTATTTGATGTTCAAATCAGCGGATCTAGAGCTGAGTGCTTCTGGACACCCAACAATTTACACCATGATCTGATCTCATGTTTTGTTCAAGTATTTTGCACAGTGGAGAGTTTTTAACCCATTATTCTGATGGAGTTTTCAATGGGTATCTCTTTTTAAAAAGCCACTGCCATAGTGACATTAGCATAAAATCTGAAAAGGAGCAAAAGGAGGCAAATTTAGAGCTACTCACGTGCTCAAGACTTCTTTGAGTCTCATTTGGGATGTAACATCATCCACAAAATCTCTAAATAATTCATTTTGTAAATGCCAATGGTTCTGTTTTCTTCTCATACTCTGACACAGCGATAAGTTCTGGGTAGTTGAAACAGGTGAAATATTTTCAGGCAGTGAATTGCCAGAAAAGGTCCAGCACTGAAGGATGTATAAAGCACTCAGCCATAGACCAACACAATTAAAAGGATACCAGCCTGATAAAAAAGAACTCGATAAACTAAATCTGACATGAGCACAACATCAATGAATGAAGGGATCCTCCCAAAAAACATTCAGGTGAAGGTACAAACCTAAGACATACATTCTTCAACATGCAAAGATGCAAAAATCCAATAAAGACTTGAATATTACAGAAAAAAACCCCTTATTTTTAATTAGTACTTTAGGTCAAAAAAAAACATTTTTGAGCTCCACATAAGGGACTGGCCTTTAACTTTTTGTATTTAATAAATTGGTTAACATTTTTGGGGACAGAGCTCATTTGGCAGAACCAACCACCCTTCTAGACCTAATATATCATCTTTGAACAATACTAAAACCCAATTAAATTGTCTGAACTGAATTATCTCCTATAAAGTGAGCACATCCAGTGTCCAAGTCAAAGGCCAGTCTAGAAGATGAGTCCAGAACAATTGCACTGCTTAAATATTTAATTGAAAGCTAAATCTCCTGCATAACCCGAAGCCAACATAATTTAAAACCTAGAATGTAATGTATTGAGTGTAAATTTGAAGAGTCATTGGAGAGTGGTCAGATCTGCCTGGGAACTTAGAATTCAATTTCCAAGTTATGATCATGGCTGTTTTGGACACTATTTTTTTTCTTCTTCTCAGCCTCAGTTGCTCTGTCTTCAAACCTCAGGCAAATAACACTTAGCTGAGCCCATTAAACATTTCAGAAGATAACAGTGGCTTTTTCTTCTTCCACAACTGCTATATTGACCTGATTATACTTGCAAATTAACAAATTCTCTTTATTTTAATTACAAATTGGCCAGGTGGGCTTCAACTGAAGGTTCAGTCTGTTTTGGATAGAAAATGGATGGAAAAGAATAGAAAATTTTGTATCGTGAAGAAAATGTAATTACACTTCCAAAGACTACAGCAGAGTCTTATTAAAATGCTTTATGTGTGAGAAAACCAACTTACTACCTCCTTGCTGTTCAGAAGACCTGATTTCATTAAAAACAACCAATTTTTCCTATGATATTTATGTATGCAATTGTTTTCCACTATTTCCTTCCTATAATATGGATGGAATACTAATTGAGAGCGAGAGAGAATCCACAAATTACAGGATAACCCAACCTTGAAGAGACAGCACCAGATGGCTGCGCTCAGTGACAGCGAGAGAGCAATGCCAAGGCAAAAACTCACCCAGGTTCCCCTTTTCCAGAGCTAGGGAGAAATTCCAAAGGAAATCATGGAATGAAGATGATTCACCATTCAAAGTTTTGACAGAATTTTCACAGTTTCTTACCTGATTCTGAGTTTTAGAAAATTGAAAACTGAAACACTTTGATTTCGTGTTATGTTTAATAAAACTATTTAAGCTTTTAATAAGCTCTGCAAAACCCATTTATTCTAACCCTCATCATGCCAAACTGAGAATCCTTTAATAAACATCGACATCTGAACAAACTTTAGTGCAAATAATTGTATCTTGTTTCAATTACAAATGATTACAGCAGTTGCTTTGTTACTAAAATGTATTATAAAAACTAAAAGTGATACAAAATATCTGAGAAATGTGCCAGAAAGAGAAATTCTGGCTTCAGACATTTGTGCTGAATTCTTTAACTTTACTTTTTTTTTCTCTACTTTTTCAGTTATTTTTTCCTAATTAATTGTCCCATAACGTGGCGGTTTTGCACCACTTTTTTTTTTTGCTGCAGTAGCTGACCATAGGATAAATGAAGATCCCTGAGACAAAATAAACCCAAGATGTATCAGTGACTTTCTGTGCATAGAAAATTAAAATGATAAAATTGCATCAGACACTTTACCTACTTCCCCTTTCCTCACTGAGGGTGGAATGAGGGATGGGATGAAGACGGGATAGAGTTTCATGTTTAAAAATACACTATCTAAATCTCCTGGCTGGAAAAAAAAGCAAGGTTTATCCCTTTCCTGCAAGGCACACTGGATTTCTGTGTTTTGATAAGACTCAGCTAATGCAGGTTCCATCCTGCTGCTCACTCCAGCAAGGATGAATTGGGGAGTGAAGTATGATACAAATATAATGACCCTGTCCCTTGAGGAAGTTAAAACAAATGCTGCTGTCAGAGGAGCCAACTTTGACAATAGTTTTTCTTTTGGGGCAATTACTGTATCTTTTCTTTCCGTCCTTCCCATTACAGCTCACCCATGTCCCCACTGGAAACCAACTACAACTCATTCCACAAACCCAGGGAACACTTATGGAGTTACTGTGGGGCACAAAGCTGAGTTCTACAATGTTCTGATTCACTGCTTTTTATAGACAATGAGATGGACCATACAGCTCTTCCCCTTTCCAATCTATAAGCTCTTTGTAAATGAGCAATGAATTATCCCACTCACCCACCTTGACAAGGAATTCAGCATTACTATCAAAATTTTGAGAGGGAAGCTGAGGCACAGTATAGAAAGACTTATTAAATCCAGCTCTTGTGCTGTCCTGCACCCCTCCTAATCTTTAAAACATCAGAAGCTTCCTTACTCATTAGTGTTAGAGCCCCTCTGGGAAGGCCTGAATGTGCTGACAGCACAAACTACAGGGAAGCCAGTCAATGGGATGACAAAATGTAGGGACAAAAATCAAGTGCTTGATGAAGGTGCAGAAATTACAATGGGAGATTTGAAAAAGCAAAGGAAGAAGCAGAGGGCAGGGAAGAAGGAAAGGTGGAGGGGATGCTCTGAGATACTTCATGCTGACAATGGAAGTTGCATTCAGGGCAGAGACTGATCAGAACACGTTCCAAAATCTACATGTTTGCATGGGGGGGAAAAAAAAAGCATCTGTGATGAGCAGCACGGTCATGACACAATTCCAGACTCTGTCTTTCATTCCCATAGGGCTACAGGAAACACTTTTAAAAAATTTACTGCCATTCCACCTGTCAAGCAACATGACATGCTTTGCAGCTCTGCTCCAGACACATGATATTAAGAGCACTGATCAGTCCTTTCAGTACCTGGAAAATATTTTGCTGTCTTGGATACTGGCAGAACAAACCCCAACTCGATTTTTTGGTTAATAAAATCTACAAGACCTCATGAAGATTTAATATTAAAGCAGCTGATGTTAAGAGCAAATAAAAGGGACAAATCCAGCCCTCTAATTATACAGTATTTGAGTCTTGTTTAAATGTGCTGCAACGGATTAAATTTTTAATTCTTTCGAAGTCACGAGCACGGGAGAGGAATCTTTGAGGGCGGCTGAGCAGTGACTGCTGTGATCCCGAGCCCGGCTCCTTTTCTGATCGCTGCACAATCGCAAGGTTCAGCAGCTGCTCCCAAGGAAGAGCCTTGTTTCCTCGGAGCAGTGCTTAGAGGTGCTGACCATGTAGGTGTAAATACATCTGTCTTTTGCCATTTGCAGTAATACATGCCTCCTACACTTCTCCCAGCGAGGCAGATGGTCCCTGTCCTGTCGAAATCTTACACTGCACAGACTTCCAGTGCTATGTGTTTGCAGAAATATGAGGGCAGATGTTAAATATGTTAAACACACGCTTTGCCCCCTGGAGGTTTAAGTTAAGGCTGCTGTCTCAATTTGGTCATTTTAGGCATGCCAGGCTTCTTGGATCCTAGGCATTCCTCTTAAATCCCTGCTTTATAAATAACAGCTTTTCATGTTAATTTTGTGTACTTTCATCAAATATTTTGGATGCAGAACAAATGAAGGAAGCTCTCAGCTTAGTGTTACGAGGCTACGTGGGCTGTGCTGAAAATTATGATCCTCATTCATGAAAACTCTATTTACACAGCAGGGTATTTCCCATGACTGTTGTTTTCCCCCTTACATAAGCCTCACTGAGCATTTTAAATTTAATTAGTTTTTAAAATTACATAAAATGGAACAGGGACAGTTTGTGAATAGCATAATTTACCGGAAAACTACAAATACGAACACTCTGAATATGTTTTAGATGTTTAAGAATAAAACATTAAATAAAATATTGGAGATTTACTGCAATTGCAATAATTTTAGAAAGGCTTGCTGGTATCACCACAGCATTGAGGAAACCTTTGTAAAGAATTTTGCATTAATTACAATGGTAAACCAAGAGCTTTTCCCCAAATCCTCCTCACTGCTCCTATCACCCACCTCCCCTGGCAGGGCCTCAGGTCAATTTTTAATTTCTTTCTCTGCCATGTCCCGCCTGGTTCTAAGTGTCTATTCCAGTTCTGCGAGCCCACATTTACATTTCTGTCCTTCACTGGCTGTATTCTTCAAGTCAGGTTTTTGGTATTTCCCCTCTCTGAGGAACTGTGACCTCCTGCCCTGTGACAACCTCCCCCTGACCCCACCTCCCTTCCCATCCTCATCCAGGATCACACCTGGATATGCTTCCAAAATTCACCTGAGCAGCAGCAAAATCTTTTTCACTTTTTAAAATTGAGCAGAAAACTAAAAAAGCTTAAATAAGCAACTGAAATGTGTCTGTGGAGGAAGCTAAACCTCAACATGACCCCCAAACTGTTCCTTCACTGTTTCTTAAGTTCCATTTACAATTATCTGTGAAGCTGAGGAATTTCTCTCTGTGCTTGGGGCAGCTGCGTGTCCGTGGCTCACGTTTGGCTCGATGAGCCCCGTGAAATTCCCGTTTCACGGCAAGGGCAGGAGAGGATTGTTGGACAGACACGAATGGATACACACGTGCACGGCCCAGCTGCTGACTGCCAGCACTCACACCCAGTGCACCCAGCAATAAGGGATTTTACAGCGTGTCCTGAACTCAAGCACAAATATGGGAATTACACAGGGAGAGAGGGAATATCTGCAAGCTCTTGCCTGAAATGTAATTCCCAGTTCACAAAACACAAGGGAAAATTCACCTCACGAGCAGGGTTTGAGCAAGAAAGCATTGAAGCAAGGGAGGCAGTGCCTGCGTTTGCCAAAATGCAGGAAAAGGTTAGGAAGCTGTAGGACTCTCAGTAGTTCGGTCCAGCATGCCATGCTCCATCTACTTTCCTTAAAAAATATAAAAGCCCTCTGAAAACTAATGGATCAATCAGATTTTTAACTGGAAAATATTCAGGAATTCAAACAACCAGAAAATGAGAGAGGAAAAATATAAACATCTCCCAGTAGATTTAATTGCAATAAATATTTAAAGTTTAGCAAGAGAAAAATGTCAGCTGTTGGACAGTATTAATTAATTTAAAATTGCTATGGTTAAGGAAGCTTATAAAATCTTGTAATACATATTTAGAGCAGCTTTTCCCAAGAAAAGTGAAGTGTTTTATCACAGCACATGAGAAGTACCAAAGTGCAGCTGACTCTGGAGTGGAAATCCACACATGAATTACCGAGTCCAGAACAGTACAACAGAGGAAAAATAAGGTCAAGAAAACAGCGGGATTAAGTTTTGCCTTTCTGCTCAACCTGGCTTACTGTCTTTCCAGTTCTGATGGTCAAAAATCATTTCTGCTTGAAAAGGTTGGAAATCAAAATAAACAAACTTGGAAAAAAAAGTAAAACCATATTTTATTCTGATTGAATACAGCTCTGCTTATGTTTCATTCCAATTCCTGGTGTGAAAATGTCTCCTGACCCACACAAATGAATATTCCTGAATTTACAGAGGTTTGTATTGATTTAAATTGTATTTATTCATCTGATGTTTTCAGCCTCCTCTTCCTCCCACCCACCTTCTGCTGCTATTAAATTACATACACAGAAATTAAAATACAGAATAAAACTAATTCTCATTAATAACGCAAATGACTTCCACATGAATCACAAAGGCTAAGGAAGGTTTGTGCCACTTACCCTGTGCGTTTGGTGATGGTCCCTAATGTCATTGGCTGCTTGATTTGAGCGAGAGGCAACACCACAGTCAAACTCGGGAGAGGCAGGAGTCGAGGATTCCCGGGATTGTTGTTTGTGAAGTTATTGTAAGTGTCTTGGCTGTTCAATTTACCTTGATGGGATAGAGGTGCAATAAAACATATTATTGGAATTTTTTCCTCATTTATCATTTCTACGTCTGCCTCAAGTAAGATACAAAAAGACCGAAAAAAAAGAAAAAAAAAAAACACAAATGAGCTGCTGTTGTAATAAAAGAAAAAATCTGAAAGAAAAATCTTCATTTCAGATAAAGAATAAATTACAAGGAAGAAGCAATTACTAATTTCACGTCTGGGGATAAGGAAGGATTCTTTTCCATGCAAGGGAAATTATTCCTGCTGCTGCTGCTGCTTGCCTGGCAGTTTTGTTCACCGAAAAGTTTTCGAGTTCAATTTGAAGGACAAGCTCTGGATTCCAATTCTCTATTTAAAAAAAAAGGAGTATCTGGAAGGGAATTATTTTCCTAAAGTACCACATACAGTGTTGGTAATTGGAAGTCCTGAAAAGGTCGCTTTTGTTGTCTCGACGGATAAAGACACACAGAATAATCATCTGCAGAGCTAAGGCTGGAGGGAAATATCAAGTAACTATGTCAAATAAAGCCATGCCAAACTAGATGTAAAAATCAAGAAAGTATCAGAAAAGTAACAAATTTCATATTCATTCAAAAAGACAAAAATGAAACACAGGTACTGAAAAAAGGAAAGGGAAAACATAGCAAAAAAGCCCTCAACAACCCTAAATTTAGCTGATTTCAAAGAGGTCTGTGCTGGATGGAAGCCCAGTTTGGATACGCTTTCTTACTCGCTGTATCACTCTGTAGTCACAACCTTTCATTCTTCAGTTGGAAAAGGAAACTAGCTCCAAATTTCATGGACAGTAAAGAAAGAAATGTGAAGAAACCAAAGAAAGAAGTTAAACAAAAAAAGGGGCCAGTCTGTTTATAGCAGAATCAAAAGTACTTTAAATAGACAAGCAACCATGAATTAAAAGGTTTAGATCATTAACTTGTTTTTCTGTGTTCCTATAATGCTGTGAAACACTGGCTTTGTTCTTAATCAAAAGGGAACCATATTGGGAATTAGGTTCCTAAACAACTGATGCATTCTACACAGATATTATACAAATCCCAGGCCAAATCCATACAATCTGCCTCAAGAGCAGCCACCTTTTTTCAAGGAAGAAAAACAGCACAGCAAAGGGTTTCTCACAGGAAGCTGCCTGAAAAGCTTTAATGGTACTTCAGATGGATTGAAAATAGGAAAAGGAAGGCAGAAAAATCTTAATGAATGTCTCATCATCCTAAAGACACTCAATGCTTCCTTCACCCTTCTTTTAATACTATATAACTGTAAGCTTGGGGGTTTTATTTGGATTTTTTTCTGCAAAGCCCCCAGACCTCTGAGTCTCAGAGAAGCACAATTACAGAAATGATGAAATTACAAAGTGTATTTTGTGATAAGTATCTGGCCTGAACATCCATCAATACGTTTTAAGAGAAACAGCAAGGCTTTAATGAAGAACAAGCCTATTGAAGTTCCCAGAGAGCAGGTTTCATTAATAGCAATTTTCCTGCACCAACTTGGAATAAAAAGAAAAAGGAAAAGGAAAAAAAACCCAAACCCATCTCAGTTTTAAATAAGACTGAGATGCAATTATTTTTTTTTTTAAGATTAGTTTAATAATGCATTTTTCGTTCTTGCAAGAAGGCATATGAATAGTTTTGTGCATTATTGTCTAATTAGTCACTGTTCCTGCAACCAAGGCCTCTCTGGAAGTGCTCCCCTCTCCCATATTCCCCTGGATCCACACGGGCACAGCAAACACTGACAGTGTCTACTGAGGGGGCTCCAAACCTCTGTAATTTGTTTTCTTTCACTTGGTCAGAAACTAATGATTAACTCTGAACTACTGATCCAAAGGCTGGGTTGGAACAGCCCCCTCTCCCCTCTCAAGGCACATTTCATGTCTCAGTGCTCTCTGCTCCCAGCTTCATGTGGTTTTCCATATGCAAAGCCTTCAGCTGATTCACTGGAATATTTGCATGCAGAAAAATGAAGAATTTACAGACGTCCTTCCTACACACAGATGAGCTGCTCTGCCTCCATACAAGTTGAGGACTCCCAGAGCAATTAGGGATACTTAAAAAACTGCAGGATTATCTCATCCCTTCAGAGTTTTTTATTAATTGTAGGAACAACATCTTACAAATTCTTAAACTCACATATAAAGAAACATAATTAAACGAAGAAAAAAGTACTAAACAATTTTAAAAAAGAATGAAAATGTGTAGAAGAGATTCTGAAAGGGACTAAAATATAAGATGATTCCTCTTTGAGAAAGAAACCAAAAAAATATTCAGGAGGTCAAACATTTAATTTGTAACTATGTATTTGGAAATATAGTTAAATCTGATGTATACAAATCTCAATAAAAAATTAAGTAAACCAGACCTCATAATGCACAGCACTTCACAGCACAAACATGATAAAAAAATTCTGCTGTGACAAATGGAAAAGCTGTAAATACCAAACATATGTCACAAAAAACATTGCCTGCCAACCTGCATTTTCTGCTGCAACAGTCAGTTGGCTTAACTGCAGAAATTGTAATTAGAAGTGATACTAGTCAAAAATTAAAAGTTGGAATGCTACAAAGAGGAGAGAAATTATTTCTGACAGGAAAGTTGTTCTTGTAAATCTGACTACAATAGTATTAAGATGGTGGGGACGATTAAGGTTAAAGAAAAGCCTCTAATTTTAGGATGTGCTGCTGTACCCATCCAGGAATCCCAAAAATTCCCCCTCTGTTCCTACAACCCTTCCAAGTAGGAAACTCCTGCAGCAAACAGGAGTTGTGTGTGCACAGGGCAGTCAGATTGGGCCAAAAGAGCACAAAGAATGCAGTCAAGCATCAACATTATTTCTGCAGCTCAAGCCGTTGTTGATTCACTGTCAAAGGACAAGCAACAAAAAAGCCAAAGTTTAAGTCGGGTAGAAATATCCAGTATTTTTCATCCAGCAGAATGCTGAACTCAAGTTACCTCCCGACATGTGGACACTGCATTTAACTGTAAATGGTTGGAGACTGACACACACAGATCTCATCCCACAGATTACTCCAGGAATGCTTTTATTGCAATCAATCATCGCCAGCACAATTCCATGGAAAACGTGTCCTCTCAAGGATCATTTCCAGTGGAGCATCCCAAGCAAGGAGGCACTTTCCCCTGGTAATCACCCACAGCCCTCAGGACCCTGTGCAAGCAATGGGGTCAAGCATTTGTCTTTCTGTGGGCTGCCGTAGGGGAGATTTTTGTATCAGAGCATGGGATACATTAAAGCCAGTTTAGGCTGGTAAATATCTTACTAATTTTATTAAGGGACTTCCAAAAAGCTGAGGATGCCAAAGCTCTGGAGTCTGACAAGTTCATTTGCAAGTGCAGCCTTACGTTGGGCAAACATTGCCTACTGAGATACGGAAAACCCAACCCAGTGGTTTTGGACCTGTTTGCTGAGAGCCTGCAAAACCACCACCACCTCATCCCCCCAAAACCTGAGCCACTCTTTTCCAGACGTTTTATTCCACTGACACTCAAAGGAGAAATGGATTAAGCTGAGGATAAAAGTGAAAAAGAAAATAACAATGGGCTTTGTTGTTGGGGGGAGAGAGCGGCCGCCAGGCCGGCCGGGCCGAGCTGTATTCCCAAACCGGCCATCACTGACAGACTCACTTCCACCAAGGAAAAAAGGGAGGCCTGCAAGTGCCGGACAAAAGAAATCCCAGCAGACAAAGAAAAAACAAATTAAAAGCACCATTATAAAACACAGATGCTATAAGGAAAATAAACTTCGTAAGATTTAGTGGGTTTTGACAAAGCTGGACATCTGTGGAAAAGCCATCAGGAGCAGCTCCCAGGTATGGCCGGACAGGCTCGGGGTCCCACGGCATCGCTTCCCTCCCCAACCCCTGGGCAGAGACACCCTCAGCTCTCCACAAACCTCCAATGTTCAGTCCGTAAGTTCCTCTTTAGGCCTGAATATGAGATTTAAACATTTCATCAAATCACACTTTTTTAAGTTTTCAAACTATATTTTTGGATAAGGAAAGCTACATCAAGCGGAAAACATTCAAGACTTGCAATCTTCTAACACTGTTTGAAAAGCAATCAATCGACTGAAAGCAATTAGTACAGTTGTGTGTCCTCTTCTGATCAACTAAGAGCCTTGATGAATTCAGGCCAGATTTCAAATTGGTCAGCATCTGAGCAGAGCACTTGAGGGCACTGCTGTCAGAGACCATCTCTGAGGAGACAGGAGGAAGAACACCCTGATTTTTGGCACTACTAATGACACAATTATACATCCAAATGCAGCTTGGCAGGGACATTCCACAGCCCCAAGGATTGCGTTCAGCAGCAACACAGTGCAGCAGAAAGATTTGATAAGATCCTGAAAGAATGTTACGGATGAAGCCCCCAGAACTCTGCTCTTTAGGCCACGCACAGTCCCACATTAATGCAACCAAATCACTTCTTATCTGATTTCAACCAAGTTTGAATCTATCAGTACCACAGATCCCATTTGTGCACAGAAATGGAACTCCTAAATCACAGCCAAGCTTAAAACCAAAACTCCACCCTCACACCTAAGGGATGCAAACACCAACATATCAACAAACTGAAATGAAACCCTTTAACCCATTGAATTTCAGCATGTGTATGACATGACTCCAAGTGCTGCAGGATTTTCTTTGCTGTAAACTGTCAGTGAGCAAAGCAAAGAGGACTTGCCTCAGATAATTTTTTCTGGTAGGAAAGTAATGATCAGAAGGATTTTAGCTTCTCTATACACTTTATTTGAAAAACTAAAATGGTATCAAGCACCTCTCAGCCTTATAATAAAATGCTTCTATGTTGATTTTTTCCATTTTTCTTCCATTACTCCAATACAAAAAGCTTAGTAATGCAGTGTCATTAAAATTCAAACCCCACTTGATTAGCTTTTATATCTTCCAGTATTTAACAGACTCCATTTCAAAGGGTACCATGAAGTCTACTGACATTAACACTAC